AATATATTAAGAATATTTTATATCAATAGGTGTCATATTTCCCAATGTTTTGCTTTTAGTTTTTACTCATTATTTACTACACGTAAACTAAGTATACAGACCATGTCATCTTAGTGACATTGTGTGTAGTCTTTTGTGCACTTGGTGATGCTTTTATTTTCCTCTCACATTATCCTCTTTTCTTCCATAATTTGGCCTTCTAATTTTGTATTTTGTTGAAATCTATACATTTATATGTATTTTGTTCTGGTTCTTTAACGTGATTCTGAAGATGATCTATGTGGTGTTTCGTAGCAGTTTTGTTCACTTGCTGTTACATTTGTGTCTTGTTTCAAATTGTTAAGAACTGTTCTTTATTTTATTTTTATTTATTTTTTTTTGTTTTGGATTTGTTGTTTCTAGCCCATGCTGTCCTCAAATTCCCTGTGTAGCAGAGGGTGGTAGTGATGGTCTTGGTCTTGTTTACCAGACTAAGCTCATGCACAGCTCTTGTAATAGCTTCTTTAAATGTTGGTGTGCGTGTGTAAGGTATTTATGTGAGTGTGAGAAGGACATGTCTGTGGTGGCCTGTGACAGCTTTCAGGAGTTGGAGAATGTCTTCTGCATTGTTTAGAGGAGGGTTTTGGTTATTTTTGTTTTCTGCTAGCTGTCTTGGGAGCTGCTTGGTTATGTCTTGTTTCTGTGTGTTTTCCCCGTCTAAAAACACTGGCATTACAGCTTTTGAAGGGGGTTTTGGGAATCTGAACTCATCAGGCTTAATTACATAGCTAATGCTTTGCCTACTGCACCAGCCCCTATTCCATTTCTTTACAGTTATGGAAGACTGCCGCTCCCCATGACTGTAGTGTCACACAAGCATAAACCAGCGGCATGTGGACCACACAATGCACTAGTGTCACATTAGCATAAATGAGTGTTGTGTGTATGTACATGGATCATATGATGGTCTAGGTTAACAATCAGTTTTTTTTTAATTTATTTATTTATTAAACATTTCTGTCTCTTCCCCACCGCCGCCTCCCCTTTCCCTCCCCCTCCCCCAATCAAGTCCCCCTCCCTCATCAGCCC